CCCCATCCCTCCGATTCTGGTGTTTATCCTCGTCCTACTTGCTCCCCCACAACCTGCTCAATTCCCAGGACCCAGAGTGATCCCCAGGCTATAGAGAGGGCATATACCTGGGGCTACTTCAGTGAAGTAGGCACAGGGAAAGACATGGGTGGCCACCAGGAGCACACCCTACTGAAAACCCCATCACCCCCAGCTGGCTTCCGCAAACTTCTGTATCCGCTTTCTTAGAATGACCCTCCCCAGTCTCACTCCAACTCCTGTGCAACATTACCGAGCTCCTGGGAAAACCAAAGGGAAGGCAGAGAGACAACAGTGTGACCAAAAGAAGACTGTGTCATCACTTGGGAATAAAAGCATCAAATGCAGCCGCAGGTAGGATTGTTGGCTCCAAGGTTTTTCTCTCCCTTTCCCTTCCCCCTTTCCTTTCTCCCTTTATTGAGGTCTGCTATTTATTCAGCAAATGTTCAAAGTCTCTGGTTCTCCAGGGCACAATGTGGCAAGTGGTGCATGTAAGGGAGGAGATCAATGTATCCTCCGCTTCCAAGAAGCTTGACTTTCTGGGGAAGAAAAGATAAATGCAGACAAAAGTGACCCAGTCACTTTCTCTGACTCTCTGTTTCTCTGTGAATCAAAGAATATTCATTCCCCCCTTGGCCCTGGTACCAACTTCCTGGGCCTCGTCCTTCCCTCTGCCATCTCGGTTAGTCCTGCTGCCCCTCCTCCCCTTTGCATATCCAGAACAATTCTGGAACCAGCTGTCTCACCTGGCCCCGGTGAGACCATGAGGCTCCACCCTCAAACACCTGACCTTTGATCTTTTGCAAAGGATGGGGACAGCAAGAGAGCATCTGGAGGACCCTAGAGGGACATGGGGATGCACAAAACTCACTTCAGTTTGCCCCCAGAAACAAAGACACTGAGAAGGAGCAGATTCAATAACTGCTATGTTTTATTGGAAATCAGCAAGAGGGGAGCAGGGGAGGCAGTGAAAAGTGGAGATGGTGCTAGAAAACACACTGATTGAATCTTGATTTAGCTCACACTGCAAGGAAGGGAGCAGGACTCCCTTCTCTGACTTCCAACTTAGGATTTTCCCCCTCTGTCATTCTCCTAGCCCCCCTATGACCCAGAGTTTTGAGGGAAGCCAGCTTGGATGTTCCAAGAAGAACCGAGAACTCCGGGAGGAAATCTATTAATAATACCTGGCTGTAGATTAATATTCCCCCAGCTGCCTCCTGGATACCGATTAATATTCCCCCAGCTGCCTCCTGGATATCGATTAATATTCCCCCAGCTGCCTGCTGGATACCGATTAATATTCCCCCAGATGCCTCCTGGATACCGATTAATATTCCCCCAGATGCCTTCTGGATACCGATTAATATTCCCCCAGCTAGTAATTGGGCATTTATTACTGCCCAAGATTCTCATAGGGCGTGGCATGGGCCTTATTCCCCACCCAGTTCCACGACCTCCACCTCCCCAGGACACACTGGGATTCAGAATCCCCCAGGGGCGACCAGGCAGAAGTGGCTTTCGAATCCTGTTGATGAGAGACCAGGGCGGGCGTTGGGCAAGGATTTGTCCCTGGGTTCCCAGAACATTAGAACGGGGTAATGGTCTGGACTCAGAGTCCTGGTGGAGGAGTGAGGCCTCAAGTGAGGGGTCTACAGAGTGTGCAGAGGACCCTGCAAGCAAAGGACCACTGTCCAGAGGGAGGGCAACAGCATTAGAAAGGAAAGACAGTTCTTCAGGCAGAACTTCTCCCCCAAGGTCCTCGACTGTAGCAGCCATCATTGGCCAAGGATCCTCAGAGGGCCAGGAATCCATGGAGGGCAGCTCCTCAGATGGAGGCCACCTCTGAACCTCAGAACGTCCTGCAGGTTGGAAGCTGTCTAATGGAGAAGCGTTGGTCTTCAGAGGAGCCCTTGCTAAGTCATTGGACCCAGGGTCTGGTCTGGACTGAGGATGTTCAGAGTTGGGAAGGCTGGCCAAGTGAGGTTGTCCAAGCAGAGGCAAGTTGGTTCTCAAGTCTTGGGGAATTTTCTCCTCCATTACACCGATGCTCCGAGCAAAGAGGCCTGAGGGAAAGGGAAGAGGAGGCAGCCAATGGATCGATGTTCTGTCCCAACGCCTTCCCTTCCTGGGTTCCCTGAATCACTTTGCTTTACGTCCCTTCACTTCCCCTCCGCTAACTCTTACTTCCCCCAAGGACTCAAGTGTACAGCCTCATGTCTTTACCTGTTCCCTCAATTCCAGCTCCCCTGAGGCGCCCAGTCCCTCCTGCCCAAGGGTCAGGCACAGCCCCTATACCTGGGAGATGAAGACAGACCAGGAGCAGGCCCAGAGGAGCCCAGCTCCGTGCCGCATGGCCCTGCATCTTGCTCAGCTCTAGCATCTCCCACAACCCCAAGACAGCCAGCCTTTATCCTGTTAGTGGGGTGGGGGACAGCAAAAACAGGCTGGGCCAGTGGTTGTAGAGACAATAAATCTCCACATTCCACCCTTATTCCTAATTCAGTCTGTGGCAACAGGTGCCATTTCAATGTCCCAGGGGAGCTGGGTGTTTACCTCCCTGGATCCTTTCCTCAAGCTCCCCGCCCCTTCCTGACCCAGGTGTCCTGGCTCACAGCTCATCATGGTTGCCAGCCCTACCCTTCCCTGGGTCCCTATGCCAAGCACACAAGGACCTTCACCCTTGGGGTCCCAATCTCTTCATTGCCTTCTCCGCAATAGAAACACTTGGTTCTCTTCTCCTTCTCTTGGGATCCAGATCATTCTCTCCCAGCACCCCTTTCTCATGCATCCCCATAGCTCCTTCACCTTGACCCCAACCTGCAGGAGGTTCTGGGTGCATAAGTGGCCCCCATCTGAGGGGCTGCTCCTAGATGAGCCTCTGTATCTAGGGAGATAGACCTGGTTCCCGTTCTTAAGCGATGATGGTGTATTAATGTCCTATGGCTGCTGTAACAAATTTCCACAAACTTAATTGCTTACAACACAAATTTATTATCTTACAATTTTGAAGAAAAGAAGTTAAAAATGAATCTCACTAGGTTAGAATCAAGGTGTCAGCAGGGCTATGTTCCCCTCTGGAGGCTCTAGGAGAGAATCCATTTCCTTGTGTTTTCCAGCTTCTAGAAGGCACCTACATTCCTTGGCCCATGGTCCCTTCCCCCATGTTGAAAGCCAGAAACAGCAGGATCTTCTCACATTGCATCACCCTGACCTCCTCTTCTTCTTCCCTTTTCCGCATTTAAAGACCCTTATGATTACATTGGGCCCACCCAAATAATCCAGGATAATCCCTCTATTTTAAGGTCGGCTGACTAACAACCTTAATTCCATCTGCAACTTCAATTTCCCTTTGCTATGTAACCTAACATACTCACAAGTTCCAGGGATTAGGACGTGGATATCTTAGGTGGTGGTGGGGCACCGGTGGCCACCACAGATGGCCAAATGTGTCCACAGAATATAATAAATACTGAGAGAGAGCAAGTATTTCCAACTAACAATAGAGGAGGGCGTTTAAATGCTGTTGTCAATTGGCCATAAATTGATCATTGTTAAGACTGAGTGATGGGAGCATAGGGATTCATTAGCCGTTTTGTCTACTCTTAAATACATTTGAAATATTTACAATAAAAAGTGTTTAAATGCCTTTGTTCTTTCTATTGCTTCCTGGACACACCCATACTAGGCTTCCCTGGTTGCATGAAGTTTAAATATTAGCTGTTAGATTTTATTGTTCCATCCTCATTCCCAGCCCCTGCTGGCTAGCTACCGGAAGAGTGAAGAGCTCCTCTCCAGAACTGGCCAATAGAGGGCAGCAGCCTTTTTGGTGACATCGACCAGTTTTGCAAAACCTTTGACCTGGAACACACCAGAGACTATAGGAATCCCCACATCAGAGGCTATATCCCCTCCCCCGCACTCCCCCCACACACTACAGTTGCGGTCCACGGAGCCTGTGAGAGCCTCAATTCCTGTCATTGGCTGCAGTCCAGGGGCTGGATGCCAGACCACGGGTGACTCAACAGTGATGACAGAAACAGGACTGTTCTGGAGTCCTCCTCTGTCTTCAGTCAACTCTGCAGGTTGGCTCAGCTGCCCCAGGTCGTTTCTGATCAGTGAAACACATTTCTGCTGGTTCAGGACTTGGAATTTCAACAATGGTCTTAAATTTGGGACCAGCTAACACTATCCCAATAGGAGAGAATGGGGTAGATCCTACAGTAGGAGTGAATTCCTTTGCAGCCAAGCAGAGGTTCCGAGAGGTGGCCTTTGCTTTGGGGTGAGGCTCTTCCTATAGAGACTAGCACAGCCCACTCTCCCCTCCTTGGAATCTGAGTACATACTCGGCCTCAGCCTCTCCCTGCCTGTCTCCAGGACATAGGTGCATGGCTATTACCACCCTCCTTTTCTCTCTTTTCTCCCATGGAGGCCACCTCCCCTTCTCCACTACAGTGTTCTGCCCTCTCACCTCCCACAGCGCTCACTCTAGAACGGTAGCAGAGGCAGCAAGAGTGTGGAGGTGGAGAGGACACTGCTGGCTCTGTTCTGCCATGGGCTGGGGCATTTTTATGTAGGCCAGTGAGTCACCATGCCTGGCTGCACTTCCTGTCATGCTCCAACCCTCTCTGTCTTTTACTCTCTCCACCCCCCAGCTCCCAGAACAACGCCCACCTGGGCTCCTACTCAGTCACCAGGAATCCGGTCCGGTTGTTGTGTTCTAACCTTCCCAAGGTTCCAGGGTCCCAGAAACCCAGAAAATCGACACTCAGGACTCCCAGAGAGAATGGCGTCTAGAAGGTGAGGCAAACTAATGGTAAAAGAGAAGGAGCCTGGGTAGGGAAAGGGAGGAAATAATTAAGGCTCTCTATGGGGAGAGTGAAGGACCTCAGGGTGAATGGGGAGTGGAGAGAGAATGAATTTCCTGGAGCAATAAGAGAAGAAAGAAGTGGGGGGAAGGATCTGGGAGACCAAGCAACCTCTGCTTTCAGTTCAACAAATATTTATTGTCTTCCTCCTTTGTGGGAGGAGCTGTAAGGTATAAGAGAAATACTGGGCCAAATTATGAATGAAAATGAGAGACACGGGACCTCTAGAGGCATAGGAGAGCATCACCCAGGTCCTAAGAGGAGACCTGGGACTCCAAGAAGGCAAAAAGTCTACATCTAGTTCACACAGTTTATTGAGACATTTGTCCAGGATCCAGAGAGAGCAGGGAGCCTGCAGTCTCTGCAGATCCCTGGTACCTCTCTCACATAAGGAAGCATCCGAGCCTTGAGGGAAGTGGCAGCCAGAAAGGGGGACTGAGATGGAGACCTTGAGAGGAAAGGAGGAGTGTTTGGAACTCACAGAGGAATGTGGTTCTCTAATGGGGGTGGGAGTGGAACCAGGAGTGTGAGAACCCAACGGCATATCGCACTGGTTGCCAGATGGCAAAGAGAGGTCATTGTTTTCAGATAATAGTTTGGACTATGCTTTATTTGGCAAAGGGGGAGGGGAGGGGATGACGTGTGTAGGCATCAGAGTTACTCTGGGACATTACAGGGGTTTCCCAGTCAAGAATCTGAAGGGGCAGGGTTAGCCAATGGACTGTACCATCTCAAAGAAATGGCAAAGGAAATTTTAGGGCGTGGTTATCTGGCAGGGAGGGCACTGTGGGAGAATGGGAATCTAAGCGATAGGAGAGAATAAGGAAAGAGATTTGGAATCTACAGTTTGGGAAGATGAAGAAAGAAGAGGTGATGAGGGAGAGTCTGCCACATTGGAGCAATGGAGGAAATAGAGCAGCTTCTTGGGAAGGAGGAGGGAAAGGGAGCTAATCCAATGCCTGGGCCCCTGGACTTCTCTCAACTGGGAGATAGTACGTGTGTACGTGTGTGTATGCCTGTACATGTGCGTGTATAAAAGCTGACTTATGGTCTGTCAAGTAACTCTCCCTGGGGTAGGAAAACTTCAGGGTCAGCCAGCTGTGGCCCCAGAGGCTTCACTTGGGCCAGGAGGTCCCGAATGGAGCGGCAGGGGATCTTTCCAGAGCTGCTGGAGCCACAGGGCTTGGCACCAGCTGAGGGATCAGGTTCGGGAGAGCCATTGGGACCCTCACTCAATGTTGAGGAGGAGACAGATATGCAAGGGTGACCAGGAGAGCTGGACTTGCTGCCGCAGGGATGAAGGATGGTTTTGCCACTGGACTGAGAGCTGGAGCTGCCAGCGGAGGAGCCAGTGCCTGGTGGGGAGCAGGGCCCCTGGGAAACACCGCCACAGGGATGGGAGGATGAACCAGAACTGCTGGAAAGGCTAGAACTGCTGTAGACTCCAGGAATGGAGAGGGAGCAGGGCCCCTTAGCGCCTGTGGAGCCGACTCCACAGGGCTGGACCCCACCAGAGCCCACGGGCTGGAACACAATGGCCGGGGAAGCTCCTGACTGGTAGATGTTGGAACTAGAGGAGCTGTGGCTGGGGATGATGGGATTGCTGGAGAAGTATTTGCCCTCAGAGATGGGGGGCCCAGCTGCAAAGGAGGGGGCCCCTGGAGAGCCTCTGACAGGGTTATCTTTGGTGAAGTAGCCCACAGGGTAGATTTTGCCCTTACTGTAGGTCATGCCTGGGACCAGGTAACTGTCAGAGGAGCCACCTACCACCTCATAGCTGCCGTAGGAGTTGTCTACAGAGGTGATGGGAGGACAGGGCTTGCCTGAATGGCCACCATTGTTACAGGGGACACCTTGAACCCCTCTGGGGCCACCAGAACCTTGCTGCTCCACCACCACCACCACAGGCCTTTGACCTCCTGACACAGAGTGGGAGCTGGAGATGTAGGAGCTGGAGTGCGAGACAACAGGCCCCCCACTGCAGGGAGAGTCAGGGACATCTGAACTACAGGGGCGCAGGTTGGAGTTGACCTTTTGGTCACCGCTGCTGGATATCCGGGAGGTTTGGGAAACAGAAGAGCTTGAGCCTCCTCCAGACTGGGAAGAGCTTCCCAAGCGGGAAGAAGCACCGTCGGTTGGTAGAGCTGAGCCAGACCCTGGTTGGGAGTTGATGCTTCCCGATGGGGGCCTGATGCTGCCCGACAGGGAGGAGCTGGATGCACCCTGAAGACCAGAGCCAGAACCGGAGGAGTGGCTGATCTGGGAATACCCTGTGCCTGGCGTAAGTAACGCAGATCCTGAAGAACCACCCTGGATGACACCGGATCCGCTGGAGCCACCACTGGAGACACCGGAACCACCGGAGCCACCACCAGAGCCACCACTGGAGCCACTGGAACTGGAACTGCTGGAACTGCTGGAGCCACTGTGGCTACTGAAGCTACTGGAGCCATCATTCCCAATGAGACAGGGGTCATTGGGGGAGGTGATGCGAGTGGGGTCTTTACAGGGGTCTGAGAAGGTCCCAATGCTCTTAGCCAAGGTCCCTGGGGAGGAAAGTTGTGGTTAGTAAGAGCTTGAGAGGCTTGGCTTTCTCCCTCCCCTTTCAGTCATCATCCATTCTGATTTCTCCCGAGAGGAGCCCAGGGAGAGTTTGGAGTGGAAAAGGGAAGGAGATCTGGCTGTGTCTCTAAAGGGAAATGAAATGGCAGACTAAGGGCAGTCTCTTTATTCTGGGAGGGGGCCCTGGGAGGGGGGTCGTGGGGGGCAGGGCAGACATCTACCAGAGAAAAGAAAATGAGACTTCAAAGTAGGAGGACTGGAAGGAAGATAAGAGGGAAGGGAGAAATGGGAGAAACAAATAGGTATAAAAGAAAGGACCCCAGAGAGACAGAGAGCAGGGAGACTGAGACTCTGAGGGCTGAGGGGGGCGTGCATAAGTCCAGAGGGAAGAAACCCCGGGTGAGACCAAGGGACCAAATGAAAGGAGAAGACAAGACAACAGAGGACTGAGATGGAAGGAAACAGCAAAGGAGACGCTGAGAAAAAAGAAAGCAGTGGCAGAGGGACTGAAGTAAAGCATAGGGTATTTGAGGACTAAGATTCAGTCACCACCTTCCTCGTAGGGTCCAGGCTTGGACGAAGGATGGAAATTCTGTTTCCCATCTCAGCACTGCCCAAGCCAGGAAAGCTGGCTGCAGGCCAGGACGTGGGGGCACCCACTGTTGCTCCAGGACCTGCTGGTACCAGTGTGACAGGACACCGCACCCTGAGCCACCCCTGTGCTCCTGGCCCGGCCCAGGGACACCAGGGTGAAACCCTCCTCCAAGGCTCATGACCTTCATCAGCTTGCCTCTCTCCCCGCCCAGCCGTCACCCAAATGCCTGTCTGCCCCCACAGGCCCATATCTGACTGCTTCTGCCTTCACTTCTCTTCTTGATGTGGAACCTCTTCTTTCCTTAAGTGACACTTTGCTCCCAACCCCAGGCTGACCCTACCCCCATCCTGCCTCCACTCTCTACCTCAACCCCTTCACGTCCCAAGTGGTGTGGATAGAACCACATACTCTAGTTTATACTTTCAGAGAGGCTGAATTTGTCCTGCCTTCCTCACAGCGTTACTGTGAGGACTGAACGTGATCATCTATATGGAAGGCACTTTAAGAAAACGTAAAGTGTTAGACATTATGATTTATTATTGCCCCTCATCCCTGAACCCTCCACCAACAAACAGGTCTCCACATCTGTGATGTCTCACTCTCTCCTCAGAAAGGAGTTCTCTGTGTCCCCTTCCACACCAAACCCCAGCTCTGCCCACAGCACCCTTCAGTCAGCTGCTCTCCTCCTCTGCTCCCCCAGACGCCACATAGCCTGCTCACAGGGCCAGGGAAGGTCACCGTAAATATCTGGTGGTCAACCACACTGGCCCCACAGTCGCTGGGCCTGGGGTTTGGATCCCGCTTTTCTGCTTTCTAATTTGTGATCTTGAGCCAGTTTCCTAACCTCTCTGAGTCTCAGTGTCCCCATTTGTGGAGTGGGAATAACAAATCTCTCATATGGTTCCTCTAATGATCAAACTGCTAATGTATTTAAAGCGCTAGAACAGTGTGAGGCACATAAAAAGAGCTCTCTAAATGGTAGCAATTATTATGGCCATTAAGTATCCAATCATCATCTTCTAGCACTCTAAGAATAATAAGAATAATAACAACAACCAATGTTTATATCACCCTGTAGAATTTCCAAAGCACTTGTCACATACATCATTTAATTTGAGACCCACAGAGAGACTAGAGCTAGCTGTTATCATTAACCCCATTTTAGAGTTTCAGAATATGAGGAAAGTTAAAGTAACTTGTCTGAAGTGACAAGGCAGTGAGGAGCAGCCCCTAGACACAAACATCAGATTCCAGAGCCCCTGCCCTTGCCCCCTTGCCAGGTCCTCTCCTGGACTCTGCCCACACGGGTGTCCCTCCCAGGCACTGGATCCCGCCAGTTTTCCCTGACCTGGTATCTGTATCCTTCCTCTCCCCCCGACTTCCCGCCCTCGCTCCCAGGGCTCCTACCTGGCAGGAGGAGACCAGCCAGCAGCAATGCCATCATCCCTTGCCCTCCCACACGCCCCATCTGGGGTGCCCGAGAGGAGCCCATCTTGGACTGTGCGACCTTCTGACTGACGGCAGCTCGTGGACACCCAGGGCCTTTATGCCCGGGCTGGACATTCTCCTGGCAGGAGTCACTGTGGGCAGGGGAGGAGAGGCGGAGGGGTAGGTGCCTGGGGGAGGTTGGTGTGGCTGAGAGGAGCTGAAGTAATCAGGCCGGGCATCTGCCTACTCAGCAGCAGAGGTGGCTGCAGTGTGGGGTACCTGTGGCCATGGGGCCCTCACAATTCCTGCCACCTGACTGGCCTGCCCCTGGCTCCTCATTGCCTAACCTGGAACCAGGCGCTCTGCCGCAATGGCCGCCCACTCTGGGGCGGCCAATCTCACCAGTGGACCCAGTCACCTGACTCCTTCATTCTCCTGCCTTCCCCAGTGTTGTCTGGCTCCCCATCCTCCCTCTACTCACAGACTGGGCATTTAAACTTTCCCTTCTGCTCTGGGGTACCTGCCCCAGCCCCCACCACATGGTCAACCCCATCCAGGTTCCCGTCCACAGACCCTGGATCTGCCCCTTTCCTCAGGATTCATCACTTAGCCTCCACTTTCCTCCTCCAGATATAAGGATCTACAGCCACCCCCAGTCTCCTGTACCCCACTCCTGCTGCCACTGCCTGAGTACAATGCCTCCCACACACCTGTTTCATCTTCTACCAATGAGTGAGCCTTTTCCCTCTCAGCAACTAGGAATTCTGTACTCCAAAAACCAGCTTCCTGACTTCTCTCTTCCGGGGGGCTCCAGGGACAGCATGAGGGGTGCTGGGTGCCAGTGCCTTGGCCTGGGGAGATGCCTGGGCTGGAGACCCCTGTCATAGCTGGGCCTCAGTTACTCACAGGCCACTCACAGCCTCTCCCTCACGGCTGGTGACCCTGACTCCAGTGGGTGAGCAAGAGGCTAATAAGACTAATTGGGAAGGTGGTGACCGTGCGGCCCATTAGCTGGCTGCCTGGCCTGGATGAGCGAACAGGAAGCAGCCAGCTCGTGTCTGGGTGGGATAAAGGAGGGCCAGGCAGGCTCCCAGGTCCCTGAAGGATGAAAGGGAGGCATGGAGGACCAGAGCCCTGAGCCCTGCTAAGAGGGGGTGGCTCCTCCTCCATCCCATTCCCTCCCTCTTGCTTTGGCCCTGGCTCCACCCCAGCCAATTAATTGCTCACAGGTGTTGCTGAGAGTATCAGTATCGGAGGGAGGAGCCTGGGAGTCAGGGCAAGCTGCTCTGTCCTCCTCCCCTGGCCCACCCAGACCTCTCCCTGCTCCCCCACCAGACTCTCATTTCCATACCCCCCAGTCTGCTCACAAAGGCAGCTCTATCCCTGAACCCTTGCCTGGGCTCTACCCCTCTCTGTCCTGCCCTGCCTCTAACTCCAGCCCAGCACTGTCCATAGAACTTTCTGGGATGATGGAGATATTCTATATCCATGCTGTCCAATACAGCAGCCACCAGCCACATGTGGCAACTCAGCATTTGAAATGGCGCTAGTATAACCAACTACTGATGGAGGAACTGAATTTTTAAAATTTCCCTTAATTTAAATGTAAATAGCCACATGCAGTCTAGTCTAGTCCTTGACTTTCTGCCAGCTCTCAAAATGGGAGTGGGAAGGAAGAGGGGCTGGAATAGGTGTGGGAGAGGAGGTAACGGGACAGCATGGAGGTAAGGTAACGGGACAGGGTCCTCTGAAGACGGTTGATGCAGGGAGGGGGTGGGGGGGGCAAAAAACGCTGCCTTTAGAACCAGAATGACCTGGGTTCAGGTCTCAGCTAACCTCCCAGCTTTGGGCAACTCACCAAACCTTTCTGAACTTCAGTGTCCTCGTCTATAAAATAGGGATATTTTAAATCATGCCTGCCTTGCAGGGACTTTGTGAAGATCAAATGGGAAACTATCAGAAGGATTAAATGGGACAAGGGCTGTAACCCTCCTGGGCACAGGCGCTCAGCAAACAGCCTGTGTTTGCTCACAGTTGCTCCTATCTCTGTCCTCCACCGGGGGAAAGCAAACATGATGGGCTCACCCCACAGCTCCAGGCTCTCTATCCAGCCCAGCTGACCCAGGCGAGTCTCCTTTGCCCTCTGCCCCCTACAGAGCAGCAGACATGCTGCACACAGGGGTGTTATTTAAAATGATGTTACTCCTTCTGAATGCCATATCTGTTCCCTCCCTAGACTCTCAGGCCCCAATGGCTCCCTGTCCAGGAGAAGAGGAAGGAGAGAGGGGACGCTGGGAGCAGGGAAGGGAGTAGCCAGAGAAGAGAGGTGCCAGGAACCTTGTGGGTGGGGAGAAGGGGAGGAACAGCGGGGCCTGGGGGGTTTTCTTTTCCCCATAGGTGGCAACACTTTCTTGTCCCATTCCTCCCGGATGCCCTCAAACCTTGGCCAGGACAGATGAGGCTGGAGGAGGCACAGTCTCTCTTGGCCTCTTGCCAGATCTCCAGCCACCTGGTATGTGGCCACATTCCAACTCCTGTCTGCTGTCCTCCTATCCACGCTGTCCACCCCATCCCACCACCCGTGTCTGCCCCATTCCTCCACTGCCCTGCCCACATGCCGGCCCTCTGAGCTCCTCTCCGCTCTCCCTGTTTCTTACTGAAATCCTATCTGCTCGCTGTGTTTTACTGTGCTCTGTCCCTGGTGCTTGCCATTAACCCTTCTCTCAGCTCAGGCAGCGAAAACCTGAAGCTAATGGGGCCGAGGAGGGGAGGGAAGGGCTGAATGCCCGCCCAGGCCAGGGCCTCCTTCTGGGATGCTCACCAGTTAGATGATGCCCTTGGTGGTACAGGTGAGGCTGCGTTACCCAGCCACAGAGTGTACCCCTAACCCCCCAGGGAGTGCCCTGCCCAATGGATGGACTCGGTGAGAGAGCGGGGGTAACACAGGGCCACCCCCTACCAGAGAAAAGCAAGCTCAAAGCACGTGCCTTCCATAGGCAAGAGGTCGGCGATCCCTCCCCCGCATTTATGAAGAAGGCAGGTCGTGTCTGCTCCAGGTCCAGGCCACCCTGGGCTGCTCTGTGCTGGTGTGTTCTGCACCAGGCAGTGGTTCAGCGTACACGGTCCTGCACTGTGCTTTGGAAGATGCAATGAGGAGGAAGATGAGTTGTCCTGGCCCTCAGGGAGCTGCAGTCCAGCTGGGAACACGCAGTATAGACAGAAGGCTGGTGTAGAGAAAGGGGGCAGGCACTTGGCTTCCGGGAGGTGGCAGGACTTTCCCTGGGCCTTGAGGAATGAGGAGAAGAGCAGGGAGCAGGCAGCTCAGACTCAGACACTGAAGGTACTTTTAGAAGGAGCGGCTGGCTTGGGTTGGCGAGGGGAGCATGTATGCAGAGGAGAAGTGGGGTGGAGGAATGGAAAGGCTGCTTGGACCAGCACTGTAGGTGATCCATAACACCAGGCTGAAGGAGGAATGGAGTGCGTGCAGGAGGACGCAGGGAACAGCAGGCTTTGAATGGGGAACAGCACGGTCAAAGAAAGGCTTGGGGGACAGAACTACCATTTCCCGATTGCCGGCTGCGGCCCGCCAGCATCCCAGGGACTCCACACGTGCTCTAGTGTTTAATCCTCACGACAGCCCCCCGGGGGTAAGGGTTATTCCTCCCCCATTTCACAGATGAGGAAACTGAGTTTAAATTATTTGCCCAAACCAGCTGGTAACAAACAAAAGAGTACAAAGGACTCAAACCCAGGCCTGTCGGACTCAAAAGCCCACGTGGGTCACATTCCTCTATGCGGCTGACACCTGCCATAAACTGAGGGCAATGGTCCATGGACAGACTTCAGAGATTCCTTAACCCTGTAAGAATGTGCACCAAATTCCTTGTGTGTGTATGTCTTTCTAGAGAAGAATTCTCTAGAATGCTGCTGACCCTCCCACTCAAAATTTCTCCTCTGCATCTCATCCACAGGCCTAAAAGTCAGGACGGAAGTTCTAGAACAAGCATTCATACAAGGGTCCTTGATAGACCTAGGGCTTGGGCTTGAGAGAGAGAAAAAGGGAGTGAAAAAAATAGGAAGAGAAAAAGTCTGAAAGAGGAGCTTATTTTGTTGTAGGGAGAGATGCGGAGAGGCCACCCAGAGCCAGTCTGTGGTCCAGGACCTGTGGCGCCTCCCCTCCTTGCACCTCTCTCTGCTCTGCTGCAGGTGAGGCATCTTCCCCTCCTGCTCTCTCTCCCCGTCACAGCTCCTCCACCTGGGTGGACTCATCTCTCTCTCATCACAACATCCTCTGCTCCCTCATGGGAGGCTGGCGCTCCAGGCCACTCCCAGCAGGGTCTGCCTCTGAGTTGTTTTTCCCGTAGTGGGGATGGTGGCCCTGAGTCATCCACACTCTCCGCCTGGTCCCTGTCGTGACCAAGAACATGGATGGAGAGGAGGCATTTGTAAGCGGGAGTTCCTGCCCATCTGTGCTGGGTGGACCCTCGTTAGCCCAGGTGTGGCCATGTGACTGGCTAAACTTCACTCAGCTTTAGTCTCTCCTCTGCCTGCCTCTTAGGAATGCCCCACTCACTTCTGTGGTTTCTTCCCTGTGGTAGATGACCAGGGCCAGAATCCACGTTCCACCTGGCCTGACTCCTTTGCCCTCTTCTCAGATAGACTCCACAGCACAGAATCTATGCAGCCCCCACATGGCCTCAAATGGGACAGAAACCACTGGCCCTGGACTGTGGGCTCCATGACAGGGGCACAGCACATGTCTGTTCACTGAATTCCCAGCACTTAGCCATGGTAGGCATTTGGTGAAAAGAATGAATGAATGTGTCCGGCCACCTTTCCCCTTTCTACCTGACTCTGGAACACATCCCTTTCATCTCTGGTTTTCGTGGTCTCCACCCCTCTCAGCCTCATCTGCAACGTGCAAAGCCCACGGTAGGTGCTGAGTGGGATGCACCAATGGACAAGGCCTTGCCTCCAGGAGCACTCAGTCTAGCTGGGCAGGGGGCAGCAGGCACATGAACTTGGCTCCGACACAGAGCCACTCACTCATGCTGTTTCCTGGGCCTGTCTGTCCCGCCCGCATTCCTCACGTGTGACTGTCTCCCTG